GAAACATGTAGAGTCATAGAATGGATAGGGTTGGAAGGGGTCTTAAAAATCATCTAGTTCCAATCCTCAGGTGTACTAGTTGACTACTGAGTTCATAATACTGTTTATGTCCTTGATGAAATATATTAACCTCTTTCGATTAGGAATAGGAGGACAGAAATTAGTGGAAAACTGTTTGGTTGGAATACTTGAGCTAGTTTCTTTGTCATTAAACTGGAGATAGAACATCTTCTTTCCCCTGTCCAACCTGCAGTGGCAGGTGCCTTCCTGTTTTGATTATAAGCAACCCTACTAGCTCTAAGGGAACAGTCAGCTACAATCACCAGAAACATTAGCATACATATAAGTATTTCCAATCACTTAAATTCTTTTGTACAAAGTTTTATGACAATCATAAAGCATATCACCGTCTCAGAAATTACCTGAAAATGTTTAAGGATTAGTTGGATGAATAATTACTAAAGTTTTAAAAAAAATCTTTTATCAGATAACTTTTAAAAATTTGTTGTGGAAGGTTCTATCTGATACAATGACAATGCAAATTTTAAGGCCCTTCAAATTACATTTTCCAATTTTTTCCCAAGCTGAAGTCTGTGATCTGTGTGGACAACTCGGTGTATATCTGGTGTATGTGTGTGCTCTGTGTATGTGCCTACTGGAAATATATCTTCATCTTTGCTAATGTATGGACTTGGAGGTACGGAACAGCAGCAGCAGCCTCGTCTCCTTCAGGCTGTCAAACCCAGTGCCATATACCTTTCTCTAAAACACCTTCAATTAAGATTTGACGCTTACAGTTAATACAGCCTTGTACTTCATTGCTTTCTTGCATCTGTTCTTAGAACTTGAATCACTACAGCATTTGAGTATAGATTTAATCCAACATGGTTAGAAACTTGTTGCATTCTAATTGATCTTCAGTTTAAAAGATTGACATACCTAAACTTTGGTTAAGGGAAAATGGGGCGCTTTCTATACACTGCACTTGATAACAGTGATTTAACCCCTAATTTGGATAAACTGCTATGCCACTTCAGCTAGAGGAAGTAACTGTATTTTTGATAATTCACTGAATCAGATCATCCTTCTTTTGCAGTGCAGGGACTGTATGCTCAGCTTTTTAAATTACCTAGCCCATGGAGTTTTGAACAATCTCAAAATTTAAAAATAAAAATAAACTTACTCATGTCCTCTAGTACAATTTGCATTGAAACATAAGTGAAATGCTTTTTTAAGTGCTTCTCAGTGTAAAAGTTAAATACTCCAGTAGTGACCCCACTGAGAGCTGACAAGTCTAATGGAATATGGAACAGCAAACAATTTGTCAGCACAATTGGCAAATCATCAAGGACCAGCACAACAGATTCCTACTTCAATTGCATATCTGGGAGCCAAATTAAATTTGTGTTTAAAATGCCCCTTATTAACCAGAAAAAATTATCACAATTTTAATTAGTGAGAAAGATATGTGATATCTCTTGTTATAAAGAAATCTACAGATTTGAGATTAGGTTCTGAGAGTTTATGTAGATGAGTTAAATTCAACCTTTTATCTGAACAAAAAAAGATCATCACAAGATGTCATCAGAAGGTATCCTCTTAGTTATTTTCAAGCATATCTTCTGATGGTGTCTCTAGATCAGAACTAAGTATTGCTTGACACAACCATTGTAAACAAACAGCACCAGGGGCCTCATTCTGTCCTCTTCTCTGGCTGGTCAGGATGAAAGTCTGCTAGTGACAGTGTACATGCCCATATCCATATATGCACTCAGAACAGAGAGCCTACTCCCAGGAACGAGTTAGAAAGGAATTTAATAAGAGCACAGGACAGGTGGTGTTCATGTGGCACAGAACATAACCAGACAAACTTGTTACCCAGCAAACTATTTACATGTGTCTGGCCTTTTTTTATCACCTAATATCTCTATTTCTCCACTATCACCTAAACTCCTCACTTGTGTTCCCAATGGTTTCTGCCCTAAACATCATCTAAACCCTTTGCTGTCCCAAATTTCTTTTCCCCATATCTTATAATGTGCTCTACATACCTAGACAGCAACCCCCAGAATTACACAGAGAGATGATATTTCCTCCTGAATCCTTATTTTGAGTTCCTATCTGCTACTATGCACACGTGTCCCTCTGGGCTTGGACAGACGGACCTCTGAGGGTCTGATTGCCCTATGGTGTGCCTGGGTATGTCTGCCAGGGTATTATTTGGGCTAGTATTGTTCTTCCGGTGTCTCTCTGAGCTCTTCTGCGGGTATGAAAATAAGGTTTATCTCATAACCCCACAGGACAACTTGCAGCAACACACTGTCTTGGGGGTTTTTGCTTCTTAAAACAGCATAAGGCTGAATTGTACATTAAGTCCTCATGCTTTACAATAAGGAATTCCTTTACTTGTCCAGAAGTGAACAGAAGTATTATAATGTAAAATGTTACATTTTCAAGTGCATGATTTAAAGGCCCTCAGCAAGGAGACAATTTTTATGAGACCATGTATTACTGACTGGAAATATTTTCGAGCTAAAAGATTCCATCAGATATGAGATGCTAATTGTTTCAATCCAAAAAAATCCCCAAACTCAAACAACAGCAAAATAAAATCTTTTCAATAAATATATATTCTTATGTTTTAAATAAAAGTCAGACTATATTGCCTTGATCAGCAGTTGCAATAATAATAATTAAATGCAATAAATAATAATTAAAATACTTGAAGCAAGCATAATGTTTAATGGTTGTTTTTTTTCAGAAATAAGGTATTGGTTTGTCTAGTTTATGGAGATTTAAGGGAATTGGCCCTTTTGTAAAAATATGAATTTATGCTTAAAAATCAAAGCACATCAGGGGAGCTGAGCAGTCAATTATGCTTCTTATCTTTAGGGAGAGTCAGAATAATGCTGATTTAGCTGACAAACAGAGGATTGTCCTGCTACCATTCCCACATTCTGTGTATGTTTGCAGAACACAGCCATCTGAAAACTGATAAGCTGACAAGTTTCCACAGTATTGCATTCTTCTCTGGGGAAAAAAAAAAATAGAAAAAAAAAAAATGGGAATTGTGTCTATGGGAAAAAGTCTTAAAATAAATTGGGGGAAAAAATTAAAAAACAAAAACAAAAAATTCCCTCAGGTCCCTCCTCCTGGCCTTACACATCTTAGTTACAGGGTTATTCAGTTATCTAGACACCAGGGTTGATTCCTTGTGAAAGTAAGTGATATTTCATTGAAATATGAAAATTTATACAGTATTCAGAATACATACAGTAGATTCTATAAAATGTTGACACCTGTCAATACCAAATAGTGTACAAACTCTTTACAATACTGTAACAAATTATTTATTACATTGATGTTTAAATGCCTGAAAATAATCAGGACAGGGTGAAGATAAATCTGACTTTCAAGAGCTTTTGCAATTCTATCAGGATTAAATCCACAGATGTTGAAATTAAATATGCTTTCTCTGCAAGCACCTGTTGTAAATATTTTAAATTAAAATGGCTTATTCTGGAAGAGAGAAGAATTTTTGGTTCTGGGGTTTTGTTTGTTTGTTTGTTTATCTTCAGCCGTGGTCTTTTTTATCAATTTATAAAAAAATCCACCATTGGAATTGTCATCATTTGAGAAGGTACTCTACCAGTGAAAATCAAAGAAAAATAGGCAGAACAAACAGAATGAAGGCTGAGCAGACCTTTGAAAGAGTTTTTATAAGGCACACTTTATTACAGGCAAAAATTACTGTTACCAAGAACTTTGTTGTTGTAGTAGGAAGGTAGAAAGATGCCACGGCCCATATGAAGTACCTGATTATGTTTCCATGTTGAAGTTCCTTGCTCCCTTCTAAAAGAATTGATTTTTTATAAAACAAAACCAAATATTTCATCAAATAAGTCTTATCATATGAAAGTCATATCAAACACACTTGAAAAATTTTTTCTTTGTTTATGTTCTTTTTCAACTTTGTTTGAATATCATGTTGTTACTTTGTAGGCAGTTTCAGTTGTTCCTTTAGACCACAAAATACACTATACCTGAATAAAAGCAAGGTTTAAGAATCTTACCCATTCCTTAAATTAGTTGAGGTAGCTTTTAAATTCAGTTGTATGCAAGTATCAAAATACAAATACAAATATTAAATATACTGCATTACAGATAGGTAGCAGTCAACTCTGCAGGCCCCTGAATTTTGCTGGTTTTCAGTGAAATCTCCCACAAGTACAGAAAAAATAGAGATGCACAGCAACAGAACACCTTCTAACATAACAAACAACATATAAAATATTTCTCTTAGGCAGCACTCAGAATCATCCTGTGTCTTACCAAGCACATATACACACAAAATGGCTTTATTTGTACTACTGATAAAGTTTAAAGCCCATAGCAGAGGTTTTGCATGCTTCTGCAATTACTGATTGTACAAGTTATGTAACATATTGTGGACTAACAACTCAAGTGCCCAATCCTCAGAAATGAAAGCAGAGGTTTACATTATATGAAAATTCAGTCCCTTTGTCAATAACAGATTTGCTCATTTTCAGGGCATTAAGTATGGTTGTAAGTATTTGCAGGGTGCAGGGTTTAAGGATCCTTCCACATAAATTCGGAGTATTCTGTACAAAAAAATTCAAGGAAAGGTATTTTTAATAATTTCTAGAAAATTGGCAGTATGGAATTAAGTGCTTCTTTGACTCTTTCAGACATCAAAATTAATTCAGTACTTAATGCCAAATGCTTCTGGAATTAATTTACAGGCACAGGAAGAGGATTAGTAGCCTGGTTTTTATTTCAGTTATTAAGGTTGAGAATAACTGTACAGATCTGCTTGTTGCCTCTGGGCACATGCACTGTGAAAAAATTATTACTGAGGAACTTACTGCAACATTCCCACCAAGACCTTTAAAAATACCTTTTGTGAATTTCAGGATTCTCAGTTTCAATGGCAGTCACTGTAATATCAATTTGTAAAGACAACTCTCTTTTATTTTCAGATTCACGGCCTCTACCAGATGTAGCCCTAACAGGGAAGTGCACCCGAGAATGTGATGAATATGGCCACTCAGACTCCTGCTGGATGCCAGTCCGTACTTCTCCGGAGAGAAAGCAGAAGAGCCAGCCAAAACTCTCCACTTTCATGCCTGTAGATGAACGGGGCAGTCAGGAAAAGCTGGCCAATGGAGAAGCCTCCCTCATGGGTGATCGCAACAGAAACCTCCTTAACAAAAAGTTGACCTCATCCTATGAGACCTTCAGCGCAGCTAGTTTCAGCAAAAATGAAGAAGGCAATCCAGAGGATATCCCCCTTACACAGACAGGGGAATACAAGCCATCTCCTGTCAATACTCTAACTAGAAGAGAAGTTTACCTGTAGGCTAAAAAGCAGCAACAAAGTTCTTTCATAATATAAGAAAGAAATGGGGCAAAATTCTTAAAATCACAACAATTTTAAGAAAAAATGTGAAACAAAAGAAAGGGGGCCACCAAAGAGACAAAAGATCTGCCTGCCACTTCTGCCTCCCTAGCAGGCATGTAATTATACTGTCTGCCTGACTATACTGTACAATGTAGAAAACATTGTTGTTACTTGCATGTCTAATTCCCCCTCGCTGATTTTTATTTTCCTAGATCTATGGTTGCAAATTACTCCCATAGTAGCAAGCTTGATTAAAAAGAACACAACACACTGTTGTTTCCCCTCTGCAGAAGCATGAATTAAGCCACTCATTTTGTTTGTTTGTCATCTGGCTTGTTGAGGATAACAGGTCAGGGAAAATGTATTCAAAACATACCATCTGAATATTGCTGATCCCCATCAGGGACAATCCTTCAGAAACCGTAAAGATATAGGATAAATATAAAGGAATAATCATTAATAGGCACTTTGTGAAGACCACAGCTTTAATATTCTCACCTCTCATCTGAGGCTGGAAGCAACAGAAATATATTCAGCCTGAGACTGCAGTCAAAACCACGGCATACTTTCCTGTGATTCATGAACTCTGGTTCTGTTTTATCCATAGAACAAATGTGTCTTGCTGTGTCTCTTTCTCTCTTTCTCTCTCATTGTCTGTAATGATTATTTCAATGTAAACACAATTACTAACACTTATACCATAGGATAGCAATGATAAACTGTTGAAATCATTATTTTGGGCAAGACTAACATTTAGCTGGAAAGATTGTAATAACAAAAAGGCCAAAGATCACACAATGGATCAGGGGAACTGTTAAGTATTGGGGCTTGACTTAGAAAATAAATGTATTCACAAAAAAACCACATGTACTCATAACACAACTTCTGTTAAATTCTACGCAGCAGCACAGTTCACAAGCCCAGATGACAAATTTTTTTTCCAGTGTGGTTCAGTTGAATGCCCAAAGGAACTGATACTTTTTTTTTTGTAATGACATATTGCAGCACATGCTGCATATGATATGCTGCATATGCTAGTTCCAGGGAATTTTTAAGATCAAAATTAAAAAATAATAGTAGAAGAGAAGGCTGTGTTGGTGGGAATGCTTGATGGGAGGGAAAAAGGTGGACAATGGGATAATGTAGTAACAAGAGAACATTACAACTTGGATACAAAAGCTTCTATTCAGATTGCAAGGCATGGTTGCTAAGTCTGGTCATCAATGTTGCAGCTTATCAACTGCTTCAATTATGTCAAAGATGATGATAATGAAAGCTTTCTTGAAACCAAGTGCATTAAAACCAAGCAAAGTGCAATACTAAATGATATCAAGATGCAGAACATTTAGCATTAGTAAAAAATGATCTCATAAACAGTGGTATGATACCTAGGAGGTCAAGATGACTTAAAAGGAATCCAAGCTACTGTGATATGCAAGAGCTGTAACAACTACCATGGTGAGTGCTTCTTGGAAGGAAGAGGAAATGAAACAGGGTTTTGTGCAATAAAAGCAACAAAACATGCAGAACATCAACCAATTGCTCTGTAGTTGGTGTAGTAATAATCACAGACCAAGCTCAGACATTCAGACAAAAGTGACAATCAAACAACACAGCAAGGACAGCTCAAGGACGGGGAAAGCGTTCAGATCCCTGGCTGTTGAATCTGGCGTGATGGCATGGCTAGATGGCTCTCTAGTAACTGTAGTCATAACGTAGCTTTGGGTAGTTTCTTGCTTTGAAGAATTGCATAGAAATAACGTTAAACAGACTAAGGTAGAGGTTGGTAAATCCAAACAGCTCATCACATTTATCCTTTGAGTTCACTTCTCCATTTAGTGGGTTGTGCCATTACTGGCCTTTTCATTCTCCTCTCTAAAGTTTACTTCCTTCAAGTAACATTAGTTTGTGTATAGCAGTTATGATGAATGGGACATTTTAGAAAGAAAATATTAAAATCAAAGATTAATAATGATTGAACATTTTTATGTTTAATTATTTAAGTAATATGGAGAGATGCAAGCTAGTACTTTGTTATGAGACTGCGTATAGCAGTTACTGCTTTGTATAATCTGTAAGTACCTGTTTAAAAATGCTTCTAAAAATGCTTATGTAATGTAAACACATTTTTCTTGCACGTTTCAACAGAATACACAATTGCATAACACAAATGTTCAACCAAACTTCCTTTAATAAGATTTTATTTAATATTACACACAAGAAAATAAATTAGGTAGCTGGGTTCCATATATTCTTAGACACTTTTTCTACAAGGCTAATAATGCAGGTCATAGTAGACCTCCAGATTAAATGGATCAGCAGTCACTCACCAATTTTTGCACCACATAAGACAGTCATGAAATAATTTTCTTGTGTGCATCTCCTTAGATCTAAAATGTGTGTGAAAGAATTTTTTAAAATTCTATCTACTGTAAGTATTCACAGTAATTCTTGTGGAACTAGCCACTATTAATATGCTGATTACTCTTCTGACCTGGCATGACATACAAATATATTTTGTGTTTGTATTTTTCCTCATTATTTGAAATAGGTTAAATCTGGTGCCACTCCATAAATAGAGTGCTTTTGTATAAAAAACAAACAAATAAAGCTATAAAAAAATAATTAGGGTGAATGCAAAATATGCAACTGTGCCTTTTATACCTATTATTATGGTAAAGCGGTAGTTGGGTTTGGACACTGAGGGGTAAGGGGCTATTCCCAACTTTTTTGAACCTGTATATTTACCTGTGTTTATTTTCTGAGAAATTATAAATGATATATTTAAAAACAAGCCTTTTGCCAAACTCAGTTAATGGACCAGTCTTAAGAATTATTAACACAAGGCTGTGGTTTAAGTAGGTCTTGAGGATTTTTTTATTACTATTTGTGCGGGGTTTGGGGTTGTTTTAATTTGTTTTTAATTCTGCTGCCTGGAAAAGTATGATCAGTCTATATGATGGTTATTTAGCAAGGTGTCACCAGTTCATGTTACCAGGAAAATTGACAATTTTTTTCAATTGCTTTTAGCCTTCATAACATTTTAGTTGTACAGAATAGAAATCATCTTTTTCTTTCCTTCCATGGGAAACTCAGATGAGCTTTGCATGTATTTTACATTAGGACACCTTTATAGATTGATGCGTTAATATATAACTTTATATGTATTAGAAAGTTCAATAGCTTTGGTCTAAAATCTAAGGCTTATTCCAGATCTCAGACCCACTATGTTTATTGAATATGGTTTCTGACTGGCCTGCTGCCTGAGTTTCAGGAAAAAAAAGCTAAACATTATTTTTATGTGGGGGAAGAATTTAGATGGGATTGAAACGATTGGCTGAAAGGCTACCCTAGAAGTTGTCAAGCAGAAAAACAATGAATATGGATAACAATCTTGCCGTAAATCCAGCTGTCACCAAACACTTGTAAGGAACTTGAACAACAAGATATTTTTCCTTCCGTTTCTTTGGTGATAAATATACAGTTTCCTTAAGAAAAGAAGCAGATGAAAAAGCAATAGAAATGAAAGCCCATCAGTTAAGTTGTATTACTGACTGAAAGAGCGTAAGCACTAGGAAGAAGGCAACATTCGCCAGCTACCTGGGGTATGCTTTCAGACAACTTTTCCTAAATTCTAAAGCACTTGCATTCAGTGTGGTACGATCTGTTTGTAATAATAATCATTGACTATTGTTCTGCAACTTGGATGTTGATAGTGAAGCAGAGAACAATTTATCATTGTTTATTATGAGTCACTATGCACGCAACTATGCTAAACATGGCAAAATGTATTAAACGCTAGTCCACCTCTATTTATGAAATATTTACATAATTTAATTTGCTTTTGTACAGTTTTATGTAAATAAATTGCTTGTCATTTTTGTCTCTGCAAATTAAAATATAACATGTTCAACTGGTTGCCCATTTGCCAGTTTACTTTCTTGGACAGTTTATTCCAATTTTACTAGATTAAATCACGTGCTAGTTTCAATATTTAATGTTATTTTGAATGGCAGAGATGATACTGCCTTAGTAACTGGCCACAGATTCAGCTGCAGAAGCAGCTGAGCTTTTACCTGTCTTCAGGGTGAAATTTGATAGAGGCAAGGCTATTGCCACCCAGGACAGAGCACATCTATTTTCATAGCAGAAATAGAGTACTTGTAACTTGAACAGCTGTCTCTGATTACTGCTCAAAAGGGCTTATTTTGAAGATGTGTTCAAAACCTTTCCTGCTAAGTGGAATAACAAGTCTTTAGTAAAAGTCCATGTATTTCCATTATGGAATGACAACTTTCTTATTATCAGCAAGGCTGCTATTTTTTCCAAGCTTAGAACTATTAACAAATCCTAAAATGTCAGTGGAGCGTCTATACTGAGAAAAACAAAACAATTAATGCAGAATTTCAGGGGGAAAAAAGAGAAATAAAAGCCTTCAGTTTTCTCTGGCTGTGAATCAAATTATCCATCTCAGCATAACTGCAGATCAAGAACAAATCATCCTCCATAACAAGAATCTAAGAAGAAAGAGTTTATTCCTCAGCTGTCTGGATTGCGCATAGCTTTTTTTGCCTTTGTTTGGTTGCTTGTTTGTCTTAAGAGAGGAAGCTCCAAAACAGCCATTAAATTGGAAAATAAATAATACTTGAAAAATGTGTTTGTGGGGAGAGGGATCGAAGGTCGAAACTCCTCTCACTCCCTGCCTCTGTGTTATGCAAAATACAGAATTACTATAGAGACCTTGCAAACCATTGAATACAATTTCCCACTAAACATCACAGAAAGTGCCCTCATCTCTATCCTTTTACCTTAGTTACAGACTAGGCTTTGATTTTTCAGAATAAAAACTGGCCAGAACTTTTTTAAAATAAACTTTACATTGCAAATTTTTTTATCTGAATGTGCTTTCAATTAGCATTTCCTAGTCTTCGCTAATGAATGTGTCTAAGAAGATTCTT